CCACCACTTCCTAAGCCTTTGGGGGGCACCAATGGCACGAGTGGACTTGCTTCTGCGCCCCGCCCTGCCACCACCCTGCCAGTGCTTTGCTGTTAATGCTATTAATGATAAACTTCCCTTTAGCTTTCCAAAGTCCAGGATTTGCTAACATTTCTCGTTGGCTATGTTCTCGTCTCCTTTTCTGTTTATCCATGTGATTTTGTGCCTTTTTATTCTTTTCTCATAATTTATTGGGACTTCAGAAGGGAGTAGAGCTAAAAGCACACGTGCAGCCGCCCACCTTAGCTGGAAGGCCCTCCAGTGCGCCCGGCATGGTACCTGGCACATTCTGGGTGCTCAATAGACATATGTGGGCCTTCTCGAACTGCAATAGTTGATTTCAACAGAAGTTGTGACCGCCTAAATTTTGTTAAGTATTTTTTTGTCTCCTGAGGGATTAAAAAAATATGAAATGTAGTAGGCGTAAGAGTAGCAGGTTACTAACACCCGGGAAATAAATATTACATCACTGGAAAAAGACTCATCCTCACTGCAAGTTTATTTGTTTAAAACCATTTCTCTTAAAATACATCATTTTTTTCTTTAGAATCACTTCTCAGTGAAGGTGTTCCCATGACTGGTGTTGGGGCTGGATGGCTCCAGGAACCATCAGGTTTCAGCCAGTTTTATTGGTGGAGAATCTGAAGCCTTCCATGTATATTGTCTCAATCTCAGTATGTATAGAAATAAAACAATAAAAGAAAAGAAGAAGCTGAAGCTGGCAGCCACGTGGAGGTGGGGTGGTGGGGGTTCTGAGGCTAGGGGCGGAAAGTCTCGGCACCTCTCCAGCCCCCTCGGCCTTTGCAGGATAGGAAGCTCGCGACGGACTCTCAAGGGGCCTGTGCCAGGCCCTGCGGCCTCCTATTCGGGGACAGCTTGAGTGCCTTTCTAGAGATACCCTGGATAGTAGAAAACAGGCCCAGCAACATCAAAATTGCAAGCCAGTATTTAGAGCGTGTGGTTGTCATCTTGATGCTTGAATTCAGTGCCTCCAACAAGGACCCATTTATTCATTTAACTGGTATTTACTGACTCCTGGTATGGACCAGGCACCCTTCTACACACGGGGGGATCCACTGGGGAACGCGGTGGGGATCCACTGACAAGGGCCCTGGCTTCAAGGAACACAGTCCAGAGGAGAGGGGCTACCGATGAATAAGGAAACGAGCAAACAGGATGTCTTCAGATTGCAGATCTGACGATGCCGTGAAGACAAAACGGCTACTGGGATGGGCAGTGGCTGCGCTTTGGGGGTGGCCGGGTTGGGGTGGGCAGAGAGTCCCAGGGGAGGGAGGAGCTGATGCAAAGGCTCTGAGAGCCACCAAGCTCGACGCGATTGCAGATCAGCAAGGAGACCACTGTGGCCGGGTGAGGATGCAGGTGCCAAGAGGAGCTGCCTGGAAGCTTAGGTGAGTTGTCAGAATGTCGACAGGTAATGTGCTGCTATTGTCACATCCATTTAAGGGGGCTGACGTGTGTGAGAAGGAGCCGGATTTCGGTCACTTACAGCCATCGAGATCGGATTGGAGGCCGCACACTGCGGCCCAAGTTCACCTCCCCCTCGGCTCCCACCTGTGACTAATGGCTGTGACGCTGCCAGGCCGGGCCCTGATGCAGCTCCACATCCTGCGTCAGAAAGCTCCGGCGCCTCAGGCCTGAGTCACCTGGGCTCCCAGGAGAGGCCACACGGGCCAGGGCCACGTGCTGGCCGCCCGCGTCACCAAGCCACACACTGCTGCTCAGCCTGGTAGCACCGCTGGGAGATTAAACACATGCGCTTAGAGAAAGGCAAAGAAATAACTTCTTTTGATAACCAGCATCTGTTAGTTAATGGGCCTCTGAGAGCTGTATACAATTTAAACTTTTTATTAAAAAAAAAAGCTCATTTACTCTCCTGGGAGTTGCGCTATGAAATTATCAGCTGCGCGGCTTCCCCCCGCCCCCCTTTAAAGCATGACTGAACATACAATGCAGAGCATTAATTGTGTTTTGTCTCGTTTCCCGCTAGGACTCCGGGTTTTCCTTTCCCTGTGGATGACAGCTCGCCCAGGGCTCAGGTGCAGGTGGAGACCAGGTGAAAGTCCAGAGCAAAGGGCCGGAGGACGTGCTGTCCTCGGGCCTCTGAAATGACCCTTCCTTCATCAGTGTGGGCGGCAGGGACCCCTGCCCAGGAGAAAAGGGCCGATGGGCTTTCTTCAGCCTTCGTGGTTCCTCTCAGCATCCGCCGGCCCCGAGCCAAGCAGCCCCGGGAGGGGGGAGCGAAGGCCGCTCGAAGGGAGGCAGGAGGCGTCTCTCTTGCTCCACACACCCCTGATGAGAGACACCTCCTGCAGGTCCCACGGAGCAGACCACATTGCTCCCCCAGAATCCAGTCACGGAATCCCACTCCCTCTGGGAGCCAGGATGACACCCCAAGCCCGCAGTCAGCTGCTAGGGGTTGGATGCTGGGTCTCACTGACGGTGTGACCTCAGGCGAGCCCCTCCTCCTCTCTCTGTGTCTTCATGTTCTCGTGTGCCAGATGCAGAGAATCATACCCCTTTACCCAACGCAGCTGGGCCTCCCGAGGGACACCGCACCTGACATGTGGCAGGGGCCTGTTTACCAACCTCAGTGCGAGGCTCAGCGGGGATCACCATTTGTGTAGTCAGCCTTGTTTACTGAGCTGCTGTCCTCCAGGCACTCCTTCCCCTATGGGAAGATCACAGCGTTGCCTCTGGAGCTACGTTCTAGGTAGAGGAGGCAGACAACAAACATGAATAAATGAGATCGTTTCAGACAGTGATTAGCATGCCTTATGAAGACCATACAACACTGTGATGCAATGAATTGACAGGACAAGGGGAGGGGCTTTTTCTTGGGATGCTAATGGTGAGTCTCCTTGAAAAGGGGACATTTGCGAGACTTGAATTAAGGGAAAGAGCCAAGATTCTGAAGGTCTAGGGGAAGAGCCATTAGGCAGAAGCAAGGGCATGTGCAAAGGCCCTGAGGCAGCAACAGCTTGTGGGATTGAGAAACAGAAAGAAGGCCACTTGGGAGGTATGGCTGAACCTCGCGGGCAGTCGTGACCCATGGCTGGGATTTTCTTCCGAGTACAATGGAAGCCCTGGGAGTTTTAAGAAGGGCAGGCAGTGGCATGAGAGCAGAACCGAGAGTGCTGGAGTTTACCTTCACTGGTTTTACTCTCTTCCACACATTCTGTAGAAGACACTCCACGTCCTTTCTTTAGAACCATAATCCCCCCTTGGTTGACTTTAATAACCAGCAAGAACATTTTTCAGGCTGTTTAATTTTATTAAAAGATTCAAATTTGATGATAAATGGTGACATGGTTGCTTCAAGCCTTGGATACAAGACTTGCTCAGCTGTGGACATATTACCAACACCCACCGTCACCCCACCAGGAACTGCCCCCAACCCCGATGTAGTCTAAGATTGTAAATAATCCAATTATTTCTTGTACTTTGGTAAATATGTCAGGAACACTCGTAGCTGCCTGAGACCTACAGAGAATATTAACTTGGAGGTTTTTTTTTTTAAAGAAGAATGGGTAATAAGTTAGAGTAATTTCAGTGGCTGATTGAACCCCACACAGTCTCGGGGAGGACAAGGGCTTCTTTCTGAAAGCATCATTAGCCTCACAGACAATTGTTGTTCAAGATCTGTGGTAAGAGCCAGAGATAGGAATCAGAGGGGGAAGGGGCTCGAACCATCAGCCCACAGTCCCAAAAACCCTCGAGCCCACCAGGACGCCAGTTAATTTTGCGGTGTACAGATGAGGCCCTGGGAACACAGGCAGGGTCCCTGGAAGGCACAGCCGGTCCCCACCAGGATGACAGCCCCCTCTTAGCAGGCGAGGACACCCCTACATTAGCGTCGTGGTAAGGAGCTGGGTGAAGCGAAGCTTCCTGGCCCCTCATGTTCAGATGTTGCCCTGCAGCCGGGCAACTCTGACCTCTCCCTGGGGTGGTCCCAAAGATCCCATGCCGAGGCTCTCTGTCAGTCAAGCACAGGGAATCTTGAAAACAGAGGGCGGCTGAGCAGGGCTAATTGCAGAGCGTGTTAGTGCTACTGCTATCATTAGTATTAATTACTCTCTGAAGGCCGCAAACGCTGTTTTTCTCCCCAGACCTGGCCCCAGCAGCCAGCCCAGCTCAGGCTGGTGACCGCGTGGGCGAGGAGGCTCGGAGGCCGCAGCCTGCTGGGGGAGGCCAGCTTCTCAGCTTGGAGGGAGCCCTCCCCACTCGCAGGCTGGCCCGGGAGGACTGGATTTATCTGCACGTGGTACTGACAGCTTGAGGTTGGACTCGCAGAAGCACAGGCAGACGCAGGCAAATGCCAGCAGTCAGGACTCAGGGACGCTGAGTCGCCCCCAAAGAGAGGAGCCCTTTGCCAGAAAGCTGAGAACTACTGAAAGCCCTAAGCGGCATCTTTAATTCATGGCCCCGCGTTGAGTGTGTATTGCTAGATTCGAATTAATAATCATTAAACAACAACCTGCAGGCTTGGCAGAGCAGCAGGCACTGTCCCCAGGCACCACCCCGGCGTCCTCTCTCCAGCCTCACACACTCCCAGGGGTGGGGGACGGGCAGGGACTGTGGGACGGGAGACTCGGTGTGGTCCCCTGGCCACCGCCGGTCCTCGAACTGCCGGTGATGAGGAAAGCAGGAAAATCAGGACTGAGCCTTTGGAAGCCCGTCTAGCGATCAGCGCAGCGGCGCGTCCCGGCCGGGGGTCCGCGGACCCGAGTCTCTGCAGGGCATAGGCCTCGCAGGTGTCGGCTGCTGCGCTGACCGCGTGGGACACGGCCGGGTGTGGAAGCAGCGGGGCCGCGCGTCCGTCCGTCGTGACACGGGGGAGGAGGTGGGTCCTTCCCCACTGAGTCGAAGGCGCCCGTGCGGGAGGGCGCAGTCCGCAGGGTCAGAGGGGTCCAGGGGAGCCACCTTGCCGGGGAAGGCCGACGTCACAGCCACCAGAGGAAGGCCGGCCCCAGCACTAGGGGCAGGAGGGGCAGAGGGGCCACGCGAGGGTCCGGGCCCCCGCCGCGGGGGGCCTTCGGCAGCGCCGGCCAGTGCTGCGCGGGCCCCGAGGAGTCGCGGGCGTCCCCGCCGCAGAGCACCAGCGGCGCCTGGTAGGAGGTGGGGCGCTTCTCCGGGGTGTCGGGGCTGGACCCGTCCGTGGGCCTCTGTCCGGTGAAGAGCAGGCTCTGCCCCAGGGCGTCGCGCTCCACCTTGAAGAGCTCGTACTCCACGTGCGGGAGCCTGATGCCCAGCGGCAGGCACCCGTTGGTGGCCGTGACGTCCCGCTCGGCGCCCACGGTCCAGGCCCCGGGGCCCCCGCAGCTGCTGGGCTCGGAGAAGTTGAGCATGGCCGTGGTGACCCGGTCCATGGGCGTCACGTGGGCCCGCGTGACCTCGAACACCAGCTCGGTGGCGCCGCGGACCCTGGCGGACGGCGCGCCGCGGCTGTAGCGGCCGGCCGCGAACACGGTGAAGGTGGGCTGCCGGCAGGCGGGGTCGGAGAAGTGGTGGTAGCGCCCCTCCCAGGAGCGGCTGGGCCCGTGGAAGGCGAAGACCCGCGTGAGGAACAGGACGGCCGGGCGCACCTCGCAGCCCGCGCTCACCCAGCGGCCACCCAGGCGCAGCGGCAGCGCCAGCTGGGCGGGCAGCGCCGGCGGGTGGCGCACGTCCGAGCGGGCGACCAGGCTGCAGGCCGGGCAGGGCCGAACGTGATGCTGGCAAGAGACAAACAGGAAAAGGGTGGCTGTCCCAGGTGGAGAAGGCAGGGGAGCAGCCAGGGCAGGGTGAGGTCACCATCTCTCCTCCTCCCCGCCTCCAGCCAGGACCTCTGCACTGCGCTCTGATCTAGGCAGCCTCGCTCCCCCGGGCCTGGGCACTGAGGTCCCTTCTACCTGGAGCTGCCACCCAGAAGGGCCAGCCAGCTCCTCCCTCCTTTAGGTGTCAGCTCAGAGCGGCCCTAGAGAGGCCTGTGATCACCCCATCCGGTAGGGGCATCACAGCGCCCTCTTTTATTTTTCTCATAGACACACCATCCCCATCGTTTCTCTTTTCTCCGCCCCTCCCCCTTCATTAGATTGTAAGTTCTAGAAAACCCAACTGCCTTTCTGTGGCTACTCAGTCCCCAGGGCCTAGCACAGTGCGTGGCTCCCAGCAAGCACGTGGTCATTGCTTGAATAAAGGAGAGATCAACGGGGGTGTAGGTGGCCTTATGTCTGAGGATTTGAAAGAAGTCGTCCTTTCTCGTGCCCAGCCTGCTTGGTCTTGATGTTCGACCATTAAGCTTCTCTTCTTCCTTGCTCTTGTTACTGCATCCTCACGCTCTCAGGTCCTCCTGAAGGGCCAGGCGCTCTGCTAAGTGCTTCCCAGCCACCTGCCACATGTCACAGCTGAGGAAGCTGAAACCCAGAGGGTCAGCTAGCCCACCCAGGTCATCCAGCCCGCAAGGGTAGAGGCTGCTGCAACGCAGCCTGGCATAGGCCATGCCTGTCTGAGCCCCCATTATTCGACCCCGAAAGCCTCGTAGCATACTAGGTAGAGAGGGGAGGCTTTTTATCTTTAGAAATCTCACATCGGAAGGTGAGCAGTATTGCTCTACCCCCTTGGAAAGTGAACATGGCAACAGGGATGAAAAGCCATCAAAATGCTCGTGCCTTTGGAGCCTGTTGCTCAGCGTCTGTGCCAAGGAGATAGCTAGAGAGCTGCAGAGACCCATGGCTCAAACACATTCATTCTGGTGTTACATAAAATGGACAGAACCAGCCACACTCGAGTTTTCAGGTGTAGCCACAGCCCATGGGTGCCCCAGGCTAGGAACTGGTTTTCCTCTATCCTTGGCCTGATTTACAGTTGCCCTACCTTACAGATTCTCAGGAGCTGGGTTTATAGTAAAACATGTCAACAGGAAACAGATGCTGAAGCAAATTGCGTGGGAGTAGTCAGTCTGCATTTTGGAGTGAAAAGGCACAGTAGAGGCCAAGAAGGAACCAGATACAGATATCTTATGTTTTGTTTTGTTTTTTTAAAGGAAGCTGCTGCCCAGAATTTAGTCCAGAGCACCATTCTGAAAGGTAAATGGCCTTGGAACTGCTACTTGTCACAGCTGATGTGGGAATGAGCAAACATCCCCTGCTTTTGGGTCAAGGGTCCAAGCAGGACAGGCCAGGGTAAGGGGGCATTTTGAGGGCCCAACTGGGAAATTGCCTCCAATATATTTTTTCTTGCATTAAAAGAAACAAAAAGATTTCCACAAATCACTGCTGGGTGAGTTTCATGTCAAACAAGGGATGTTTGGGAGTTCTAGCTCAGAAAGAAAATGTTGGATGATTGAGAATTTGGATTGCCACATTTTAAAAGCTCTTATTATTTATTTTTATCATGAACCTAAACTCTGCTTGATTTCCGTAATATAGAAGACCACATTGCTTTGGTTGGGGGATTTTGACCCAGAGTGCTCGAAGGCATCTGAAATGCCAGCAAATGGCTGCAAAAATGTTTGTGACAGAAACAAGCGAGCTTGGTAGTTAGCAGGAGTGTCAGTAATTGGGATGCCGACTGATAAGAGTCTACTTTAATTTAGGCATTTTAACCCACATTCCAACTGTTGTCACACTAATGTGTATCGACAGGACATAATGTGTTACATCAAAATAATCCCAGAGCTGCCCTTCCCTACTACAGAGAAGAAAAAAAGAAAAAAAATTAGATATCCTCTGCATGTAGAGGGGACATTTGGGGATGCTAGTTGGTAATCTGGGGCAAGTGGTTTTCTGCATAGCAGAAACAAATTAAGAACTGGCAAGCTTTTAAGGTGAGGGAGGAGATAGAACAGGCATTTCCTTCTCTGGTGCTTTTGAAGGTGCTGAAATAAGATTCCCATCTCCACCAAAAATCTTCCGAGCATCTTTCTGCAGAGGTCCGGAGTTGCACGTGTTAATAAACAAGGCCTCCAGCCAGCAGAATTCACACTTGTGCGGAAGCCAAACTCGTACTGGTTTAAGCCTGTTACATAAAGTTATTTCTCAAACAGCAAATAACAGTTTCTAATTAACCCCCAGAGGTGACACCGGGCTCAGATGATTTTGGTGGAGTGTTGGCTGATTGATTAGGATTCTATACCCAGGCAATGAATTTGGGGATGAAATTGGTTTTAAATTAACTTCTAAAAATGTTCATGTTTACCATCTGGTTTGGGTCATGGGCAAGGCCTGGGCCCCAGAGAGCATAAGGTAACGACTAATTCGTTATTTGGGGATTTATCTGCAGCATTTCCTTCTTTTAAATTATCTTTCTTTCTTTCTTTCTTTTTTTTTTTTTCCTGAGAAGGGGGGCAGTTGGTGTGCGGACATTTAATTTAATGTCTGTGCATCTGGCACCGCTCGTCTCTGCATACGTTTCTATGTGTTTTGCTTCTCGGTCACATTCCAGGCGGCTCTGGCCACCCGGGCTGGCCGGGCAGCAGGGAGGGCAGAGACAGCCACGGCCCCAGAGCCCTGCCTGGGGAGACATGAAATTGTCAGGCTGCAGCCCCCGGGGATCTGCCCTCTCTGCATTCAGAGCACTTTCCCTCCTAATGAGGTGGTGGGGGCCGGTAATCAACTCAGCACCCGCGCCTTCTCTTCTCTAAGTAGGATTAACGCCAGACCGGCCCAGAACATCGGTTGCCAAAAGGGGAATAATTTTGAGGTCATAAAAAGAACTCTGAGGCTGATTTTCTGATTATGAGAACTTCTTGTCTGCTCCTTCTCTGCCACCCAGATCCTGGCTTTGGAGGAGGGGAGGAAGAGGGAGAAGGTGGGCAGGCGCTGGGTCTGTCCCACCCCCAGTGTTCCCGCTGGGGGCTCTGACGAGTGGCTGCTCCCAGGGGTGGGAAGTTGCCCCATCTGGTTTAGTTCCTTGAGTGTCTAGTACACAGTAGGCACTAAATACATGCTAAATGATGTGAGGGCAGCCTAAGGGCTCAAAGAACACTTGATAGGGACGCCGAGCTCATCCATCCGGTTTTCCATTCATTTTCACTTTCAAAAAATATCCACTGGCTGCCTTGTGCAGAAGTACTAACCTCAACTGCATTTCCACTAACCTTTAACTAATAAAAGTTAACATTTCTTCCCGTTGTGAATGTAGGCAGCAAACCCCAGTAGCATCGGTAGAACCTCTGACTCTGTCACCAGCATCAGATTAACGGTGTTGCAGATGCTGGGAACGTTGTTTACGCTTGTCGCTGCTTTGACATGAGGGCAAATAATGAATTCATATTCATAGTATTCTTGTATCATAAATTAATGTTTTAAGACTTGGGTAACGTTTAAAATAGAATTGGTTTTCACTTAAATCCCATGCATTTTATCTTACGCTTTTAAAACCATTTTTCTGCAGAGGGGTCCTTAGGCTTTACCAGCCGCCAGAGAGGTCTCCGTCACCCCCGCACCAGCGACGTCGCGAGCAGTGTGCCGGGAGCACGCCACACAAATCAAGTTTCTTCCTGCCTGTTTGCTCATCAGGCAAAAAGGGCGACCAGATCTTACCCAAATTAGGACAGTACGTTTGCGATGGCTTCACTTAAAGTGAAATTCACCTGGGAGTCAGGGGGACCCTCAAAGAGAAGGCAGTTCCCATCCGACTGGAGCCCCCACCCGGAGGGTGGCCCACGGACCACCTAGGAGCTTCTAGAAATGCAGAATCCCGGGCCCCTCTCAGACCTGCTGAGATGGACTTTGCACTCGAACGAGATGCCCAGGCGATGCTGTGACGTCAGGGTTTAGCGCGGAAAGGTGTGTCTTGATGGCTCTGCCTCCCGGTCGGCAGTGAGGCTCCACGCTGAGATTTTTTTTTTTTTTTTGAGGCAGAGTCTCACTGTGTTGCCCGGGCTAGAGTGCCGTGGCGTCAGCCTCGCTCACAGCAACCTCAAACTCCTGGGCTCAAGCGATCCTCCTGCCTCAGCCTCCCGAGTAGCTGGGACTACAGGCATGCACCACCATGCCCGGCTAATTTTTTCTATATATTTTTAGTTGCCCAATTAATTTCTTTCTATTTTTAGTAGAGACGGGGTCTCGCTCTTGCTCAGGCTGATCTCGAACTCCTGAGCTCAAACAATCTGCCCGCCTCGGCCTCCCAGAGAGCTAGGATTACAGGCGTGAGCCACCAGGCCGGGCCACGCTGAGATTTCGATGGGGGTGGCATTTGGGTGGGGGAGACCTGGAGAAAGCCGCTCTTTTCCTAATTGATTCACCAACATTTGTTGGCCCTGATCAAGTGCCAGGCCCACGCCGGGAGGCGGCAGGGGCCCTGGCCTGGTGGGGGGTCTGGCACTAGAGCCCGCAGGTAATAAACGAGTAAACAACAGAGCTTCAGGGTGTGTTGAGCGCTGAGATAGACAAAAACGGGAAGTGTTAGAATGGCAATGGAGGGGACCTTTGAGCTGAGAACCCAGGGAGGGCAAACCTGCCCCAGCCCACGTGCCCAGCAGGGGCAGAAATGGGGCCTAAATCTGGAGCATGTGGGCTTGAGAGGACCAGGCCGGGAAGGCCAAACAGTGTTCCTTCCGGACAAAGCCAGACAGCCTTGTAAAGGCCTGAGAAAAGATGTCTCCAGCAGAGAGAACAGCCTGTGCAAATGTCCTGAGGCAAGGAGACCAGGGTGGGAGGGGCAGTGACAAGAGCAGGCAGAAAAGGGCTAGGCAGGGACCTGCTCACACGGGGCCTGTTGGTCTGGGGCTCAGAGATCTCCCTCCCAGGGGCCAAGACTCACCAGGGCGCTCTGCAGGGGCCGCTGGTAGCCGGTGGGCCGGTATTGCTGCCTCTCTGCCCAGTCCGTGTGGATGTCCCCCAGGTACAGCTCCTCCACCAGCCGGGACACAGCCCCGGGCTGGGGCTGCAGGTAGCGCTGCACTCGGACCAGGCTGAGCTCATGCATGGTGAAGCCCAGGGCCGCCATGCAGTCCCCCTCCGCCCGGGTGCTCAGCAGCTCATACAGCGCCCCTGGCAGCCAGGCCTGGGCGGGGGGCAACCGCCTCACGCAGTCCTGGCCAGCCTGGGTCTGGTTGAGGCGCCCGGTGACATCGAGCAGGGCTTGGCGGCTGTGGAAGACGATGCCCACCTTGTGCAGGTGGTAGTCAGCCTCAGTGGCGCCCCGGGTGACCCAGGAGGCCCGGCGCAGGCGGACTTTGCCCTTGATGAGCAGCGAGTGGGCAGGCTCCCGGCAGAAGGGGTCCCCGTAGTAGAACTGGTAGGCTCGGAAGAGGCGGTTGGGGTAGAAGGTGTAGGAGCGGGTGAGGAACTCCGGTCCAGGGCGCACCTCGCAGCTGCCAGGGGAGGAAGGAGACGGGGTTTGGGGAGGGAAGCGAACACCGGCCCCCCTGGGCTGGGCTGCTGCCTCCCAGCCTCCACTCCGGGCCTCGGCTCAGGTCTGTTCCCCGACGGCCTCAGCTGCCCTGACCGCCCTTGGTCAGCCCCGCCTTGGGGCTGGGGCCTTCCACTCAGTGCCTTATGGCCCCAACAAAAGCCACCTAGTTCTCCCTTCGTTCACTCCTCATCGCTCTAACCGGGGGCCCCTTTGCACCCTGCTGTACCGTGAGCCCTGGGAGGCAGGGTCCCGCCCGTTCCTCTCCCCCTCAGACTCCTGGCCCCTTCCTGGGCCTTGGCTGAGTGAATCGGGGTGACGGCTGCTTGTGTGGTGCCTCCCCCTTCAATAGGCTGGCTTCCCTGACCAGGGTCGTCCCTGTCTGTGACTCAGCTTGTTGACCTTTTCTGTAAAGGGTCAGATAATAAACATTTTTGTTTTCGTGCAACTGCTCAAAGTTGCGACTGGAGAGTTACCGCAGCTACAGACGGTGCATTGGGGAATGGGCGTGGCTGTGTGCCGGTCAGACTTCTTTCACGAGACAGGCAGCAGGCTGGACTGGCCCCAGACTCTGTCCTGCTGGTGGTGCAGACAGGTCCAGGGGACAGGGGCTGCTGGGGGACGGAGGCTAAATGACCCCGGGGCCCACGGCCTCCGGGACTCCCCCTCGAGGGCTCCGAGGGGCAGATGGAGGACGCGTTTGAGGGGAGGGCAGGCAGGACTCTTCACAATCTTACCCCAACCAAGGTACCCCCTGGGCTGCTGTGTTTTTGATGTTTTCCTACCAGGGCTGTTGGAGGAGAGGAAGCACCTTATCACCCTGCGAGGAAATAGTAATAATCCCCTTTCCTCCTCAGAGTCCCGAGTGCTGACCACTACGCGACAGAACCTCCCTTCTGTCCTCCAATCTTTCCGCTCATGTCGAGGGGAAAGTCTCTGCCGGGAGCGGCTGTGTCTTCAACGCCAGCTGCCTTTCCTCCCGGAGAGAACAGACGCGGAGCCTTGGGTAGGCAGCAGATCTGGAGAGGGTTTAATTATGTTGTTTGTGGTTATGGAGTTTCTTTTTACAGTGGCCTCTTATTTATGATAAGTGGCTCTGTTCACCATATCCAGGCTGATATTATGCTTCCTTTAAAAATAATTCTATTACCCTGCAAATGTGTGGAGTGGTACCATGTGCCAATTATACCTCAATAAAGCTGTAAGAATAAATGAATATGTTTAAGTAAATAAAAGCAAGTTGGTTTACAGAAAAATAGTAAATACCAGTATAGGTGGTAGTTACAAATGGGGAGGGGTGACCCACATCCCCGGGGGTCTCAGGCAAGGCCTGCAGAGGGGGGAGATTTGCCGAAGGGGACACGGCCAGTCACACTGGACATCTCGGTGGTTGCCAGACTGGACCCTTTCCCACACTTCTCCCAGAAACAGCAAGGTCTGCCTGGGGAGCACAGTGGTGAACTTTCTAGAAAGTTCTAGAAGAGGTTTCTTAGAAGAACTGCTCCAGAATGCTGTTGTCTCGGGGCAGGAGCAGCCTGCACCCCAGCTCTGTCTCAGAGTGACCCTGGCTAGTGGGCGCCTGGATCCCACCTGGACCGTGCAGCAGGCTGGGGGCTGCGTGCAGCCGGCAGAGCCTGGGAATGTGCTCAGAGTGGCTTTGCAGAACTCACGTCCCTCCCTCCACCCAAAGCACTAGCAGATGTTTGGCGTTGAGTTTCTCCCTGACCTCAGGAGGTACGTGGAGGACGTGCAGAGGCCAGTCCTTGACCCCAGAATGGGACTGGCCCAGGGGGATGGGGGAGGAGGGAGGGATGGGCCAGGTGCAGAGAGGACCACAGCTCCCTTCTCCCCGACCCCAGCCCTGGGAGGGGGGACTCAGCTAGCTGCTATGGGGTTTGTGCACCCCAGATGAGGGCAGAGCAGCAACTGGACCCCTGAAATGTCAGTGAGCCTGTCAGGTCAGAAAGAGAATCAGATGGGGCCTGCCACTTCCTGCCTCAGGGCCTTTGCACCAGCTGCGCCCTCTGCCTGGCTCTTCCCTTGGCTCTGTGCATGGCTGACTCTCATTTCAGCTCTCAGCCAAATGTCACCACCTCCAAGAAGCCTCCCGTGAGCACCCCCTAAAGAACCCTCCAGGCCACTTGCTGTCACAGCCATGGATTGATTTCTTTCATTGAGGAGCTTAGCACTATCTCAGGTTTATATTATTTATTTCTGTGTTCGCACGCTTAGCACGTGTCCTACCACCTACCCACACACCTAGCTCGTCGTGGGTACTCGAAAAGTATTTGTGTAATAGGAGCTTGAGGTGTTGAATGAATGGATTTTATCCATTTGCTGTTTGTGGCTGGGCGAGATGCCCGACGCAGTCCCCACCTCCCGCTGCACCCTGGGGCGAGTGGCAAACAAAGCCGTGGGCTTGGCAGGTCTCAGCCTCTTGGACAACCAGGCAAACTATGCCCATTTCACAGACGTGCACACGGAGGCCCGGAGAGGCAGAAGTCTCCCAACCCAGGGGCCCATGGTCGGGTGACCTGGGATCTTACCCAGTGGAGATCCAGGGCCCGTCGAGGCGCGGGGGCAGGACTGCAGTGCTGGGCATTCCGTCTGGCGAGGTGTGCTGACAGCGGGGTTCCCAGTGCAGGCGGCTGCCCCCTGCTGCCCCAGCTGCCTCTGCTGTGCGAGCTGCAAACCAGACAGGCCTGGGTGAGAGATCCCAGCACGGCCCAGGAACACCACCCGCCCCGCCTGCCTTCCCACCACCACCACCGGGTCCTCCCTGGGAGGCAGCAGGGAGATGGGGGTGCTATGCCCCCACCTCTGCCACAGAGCCCCCCCAGACATCCCCCGGTTCTGGAGCCAGGGATGGGCTTCCCATACTGGGGCACCTAGAGTTAGTTTCCTGACTCACGTCCTCCTGGGTTTCCAGGTGTGACCACCCTGGGATCCCAGCCTCCGGGCACAGAGCAGGCCAAACCTGCCTCCCATCCCTTGAGGCCACTCACTTCCCATCTCGCCTCAGTGCTGGGCCCTTGGGGTGTCCATCTCTGTATCTGTGGGGCCCAGCCCAGTGCCTGGCGCGTGGCTGGTGCTCAGGGGGTGTGTGGCGAGTGTGTGGGCGCAGGGCCCTTCTCACAGGGCCTCATCCCCAAGCCAGGGGCTGGGGGAGGAATCGACCGGCCCAGGGAGGAGGGTCCTGGGGGACGGACGCAGGAAGCAGGGCCAGTGCATGGGGCTCCCGGTCTTCTTGAGTGACCCCCAGATGAGCTCAGCTCGGCCCTGGAGACGAGTCAGGCCAGGGCGTGGGACTGTTCCCCATCTCTTCTAGGCACTGCTCAGAGGCGAGGGCGCCAAGCCCTTCAGCTGCCGAAGAGCAGCGGTTCCCGCAGAGACTGTCATCTCCACTCAGGAGCGACGGCTTGAGACGGCCCAGATGGCGGGAAGTTGTGGGAAGCTTGGCGGCGAGCAAGGTCCAGATATCACAGCCACGGGCTGTGCTCACAGGGGGCCGGCGACCCTGACGGCCCGGCTCCTGCAGAGGCCTTCCAACCCGGCTCTTCCCACGGAGCCTGCGGCTGGAGCGGGTGGGGAGCAGCTGCCTCCGGGGCGCTGGGGGGCCTGGCAGAGGCTTCAGCCCGCCGGGAGGCCCGGGAGGGGCTGGACGCTGAGTGGAGAAGGGGACAATGGCAGGTTCTGCCCCTTCCCCCAGCACATAGCTGCGCCTTCCCGTCTGGGGTTCCGGAGGCCGGGGGACCCACGCTGCCCCCTTGGAGCGTTCTAACTGGACACCGTGACCCCAAGCTCCCCGCGCCCCAGTGGCCTCTCAGGAAAGCAAGGCAGAGTGGATTCCTCGCTTCCCTCGAGGTCGGGGGTGGCATCCGGAGACTTGGGGTCTCCAGGAGCAACGCTGCCGATGACGACAGTGACGTGGCTTCTGCTAACCGAGTGTGGACTCCGTGCGTTTTACACATCATCTCGTCTGGCCTCTGCAGTAACTCTGGGAGGTGGCAGCAGCCTTATCTTCCTCTCGCCGTCAGAGAGACGGGCTCCTCGACATGGGTTCGTCTTACACAGCGTACGTGCCCCCCGAACGTGACAAAGCCGGGATTTGTCCAGGTGGTTGGACTTTGGGGTGTGATGGCTGAACTGCGGCTTGTCCTGCGCGCCCAGCGAGAGCAAGGGGGCTGATTTGGAGGCTTGGCAGGACGCGGGGCACTCAGCGAACACTGGCTGCACGTGCGGGCGAAGGAACGCCTCACAGCGCTGCTGGAGCCCTGGGCCCGGTGTATTCCGGGCTGACCCCACCACTGTTCACCGGCTCCAGTCAGCCCAGCAGGAGAGACGAGAGCAGACACCAGCCAGCCAGCGCTGAGGGGACCACACCTCCGGCCCCGAGGGCGCCCAGGGCAGAGTGAATAAAATACCAGTGGGGGTCTTGCAAGAGAGAAGCCGTGGCTTTTCCATTTTAACCCAGCACATCTAATTTGGGGGGAGCCCAAGCCCGACATTACGGGGGGTGGGTGGGTGGGCATCAAAGTTGGGCCAAGTCCCGGCATAACCCCACGCAGAGTCCTGAGCCTGACACACAGACACGCCTCGGCAGCAACACCTCAAGCACTGGGGGGCTTCTGCAATCAACTTCGTCGGCAGACGCTGGGTTCCCTGGATTCAATTCTGCAGGTTAATTTGAACATCTCGGTGTCAATGAAACCTGTCCGAAAGTGTGGATTCGGAGAATGGATGGAAGCAAAGCGAAGAAAAAGATCAAACGGGGTCAGTGTTATTTGCCTGGTGGGAAAATCGAGCTCACATCACAGAGCAGAATAGCGAATGGGCCTGAGAATTATCTTGTCGCCGTCTCCCCGAAAGTCAGGTTCCTGAGGAAATGTTTTCTGTTCTAAAGAAAACAGGCTCTTTTTTTTTTTTTCCTGTACCCTCCCTGAAGGCCCGGAGAAGAGATGGCCCTTGACATTATATTCTGTCACGAATCCTCAGATGCTATGTTTCTGCTAAGTTGTTTTAGTTTGTCTTGTTTTTCTGCGAGAAATTAGAGCTTAATTACGTCGGGAGATGAAGAGATACAGCTAAATCTCACTGCATTCAGAACATGTACACACAAACACAAACAGAACCAGAGACCTTGATGAGAACATCAGAGCGGAATATAATGTCGCCTCTTGGTTCTTCCGGAAGCCTCAACTTCAAGGTTGCAAAAATAAAATGAACCAATTATAAATGATTCCATGACATTTTCTCAATTGCATCTTTTTGCGGTAGATGTTTTTATTTTCTTTGCTTTTTTCCCCCCTCCCTCTTTCTCTTCCCCCAGGAAAGTCTTAACTGAAGGACCAAAGAAACGACACTGAAAGCAGATGGTGCCGTGGGCTGGGTTACACAACTTTTTCGCAGGGACCTGATAAACTGAGTTAAATACATGGACCAAATTGATTTTTATCAACCATGGATTTTTAATTAACAGTGGTATCCACTTACTGCCATTCATTATTTACTGTTTACCCACTAATTAAAAATTATGCTGCTTTTGCACTCATAAGAGCAGGGACATTTGAAATTAGATAGCATCGTTCAAATTACCTACAGAATTAAATCTAGAGTGCCCAATTGCTCAGACCAGGCTACCAGAGTTTGAAATATGATCTGCTCCAGCTCGAGGTGTTATCATGAGTCAGAACACCAGGGACAGGCTGCAGGGACAAACACCATAAGGAACCTGCCTGGGGCCTTAAGGGGCAAGGGCACTTGCTGAGCCCTACCGCGTGTGGGCACCTGGGATTGTCTCGGGGTCATAACGGTGCCCAGCGCCTCTGAGCACGTGTCATGGGAGTCCTGTGGTCAGATGCATTATCTGCATTATGGGTGTGAGCCCCCCCAAGGTCCTGGGGGAGGCAGTAGGTCAGCGCATGGATGGAGCCCAACGATCGACAGGTGCATGGACAGGGTGATGTCCATGCCCTCATTTTGCAGAAGAAGAAACTGAGGTTCAGAGAAGCACAGGGACTTGGCCATTGCCACTCCTCCACAGGCAGATGCTTCTTGGCCAATTTAAAAATATATATTTTGGTAAAATACAGCTAATGTAAAATGCACCCCTTAAGCCGTGTTGGAGCGTGCGATCCAGTGGCACTTAGTACACTCACGATACTGTGCAGCCACCACCGCTGTTTCACGCCGGAACATTTCATCACCCAGAAAGGAGACCTTGCACCCATTAACAGTCACTCCCCTCTCTTCTTAGACCCAGGCAATGATTAATCTGCCACGTCTATGGGTTTGCCTAATCTGGACGTTTCCTAGAAATGGAACCGGAGGATGCGTATCCTTTTCTCAGCTACTCTTCACAGCAAGGCGGACGTGGTTGTTCTATTTTGCAGATGAACAACGGAGGCTTAGGCAGGTTTCACTCCCACGTCCACAGTCCACGTTTTCTTCCAAGACCACGGAAGGAGCAGGCGTGGATCAGGAGGGGTCGGGCGGGGCGAAGATGTGGGGCTGAGACGATGGAGGAGCAACAGCTCCTCGCTTACCTTTCTTTTGGAGCAGAGGCAAAAGAAAAGCACTTTTCCTTCCTAATTGGCTTGTTCTGAGGTTCTTGAGACGAGGCACGGATGCCAGGGCGGGGTGCGAGGCGAGTTTGGGTGCCGTGGTGAGCTCTTCACAGTCCGGCGTCACACGCCGACTTCAGAGGGTGTTAAAAAGCAGCCGCGGTTCTCACAGCCCATCTTGCTGGGGACTGACTTTTAAAAGGGGGTTCGTCTGGACTTGATTTTAAAATATTAGGTAATTTGCAAGCAAATAGAATTTAATAAGCAAGTGCGTAAATGACTTGTGGATGTGGTAAGTAGCCCTGGGGTGGGGCGTGGAAGACAGAAGAAGAAGCGGCTCAAGGAGAATTTGTCACTTTTCCTCAGGAGTGCAGAAGGGAGCGTATGAGTCCCCTGGGGCTGCTATGACAAAACACCACAAACTGTGTGGCCGAACACAGGAATTTATTCTCTCACCATCTGGAGTCTGAAAGTCTGGAGTTTGAGATCCAGGTGTGGGCAGGGCCGAGCTCCCTCTGAGGCTCCAGGGGAGGGTCCCTCCTGGCTTCTTCCAGCGCCAGGTGGCTCCAGGCATTCCCTAGGCTGTGGCTGTGTCGCTGGGATCTCCGCCCCACCCGCCCCGTCTTCACATGGCGGGCTTCCCTCTCTGTGTGTTTCCTCTGCCTGCGTCTCTGTATCCAAATCTCCCCCTCCTTTCTCTTATAAAGACACCAATCCCCGGATCAGGGCCCCCACAATCCAGTATGACTTCGTCCTGACTTGATGACATCTGCGAAGACCCCCATATCCAAATAAGGTCACATTCACAGGTACTGGGGTTAGGACTGGAACATGTCTTTTTTTGGAGGGATATATTCAACCCACGACAGATACCAAGGGCCATCCAAAGCCTAGGTACCCCCAGCAACCTAACCACCATTCATTCATTCCTTCTCCCCCCACCCACACACTTATTGAATGCCTGTTGTATGCCCAGAACCACGATAGGCTGCAAACAACGTCCAGAACTCCTGTTCTCAGGGAGAGGCTGACACTCATTCAATAGACCCACTTTGGAATATAACTTCAAACCATCGGCAGGGAGGCTGCCTCGGGGCCGTCGCGCGTGCTGTTCCTTCCCTCCGCTCTGTGCCAGGCTCTCGGCCGGCATTTCTCTCCGGGCACTCCCTTCTCCAATCCTTTCTCTCCTAATAGGACCCGTCCCACCTGGAAATTAGCTATCTGCTTCCTGTTTTGGGTTCATTTTTATTTTTTGACTTTTCATTCTGAAATAATTTCAGAGTTACAAAAATGTCACAAAAGCAGCAGCAAGAGTTCCAGTATACCCTTCACCCAGTTTCCCCACTTAACACCTTACACAGACACTGCACAATGAGCAAAACCAGGACTTTAACATCCGTACAGCGAGTTTCACCCATTTTCCCACTAAGGCCGCCCTTCCCGTCGGGG